CTGGGTGTTATGCACAAACAATGAATCATGGAACACTACATCAAAAACTAATGATGTAATGTATGGTGATTAACATAACAATAAAAAATTATTTTTAAAAAAAGAGTATGTTGTCAAATTCACAAGTATTGGGGCATTTCTCAAATTTCTTTCTGTTGTTTATCTCTAAATAGTTTGATCAGAGAAGATACTTTGCTTTTTCTCATCCTTTTATATATGCTGAGATTATTTTTGGCATAATATGTGATCTATACTAGAAAACATTCTACATGTTTTTGAAAACAACGCATATTCTGTGGTTGTTGAGTAGAGTGTTCTAAAACATCAGTTAGGTCAACTTGGTTGATAGTGTTTTTCAAATCCCTTTACCCTGACTTTTTCTCTGTCTAGTTGGTATGATTAGTTTTTGAAGGTGGAGTATTGAAACCACCAAGTATAGTTTTGATATGTTCATTTCTTCTGTCATTTCTGTCAGCTTCTACTTCATGTATTTTGGAACTCTGTTGGTTTGTGTCAGGAGATCCCCCCACAGTGCTGCCCAGGCAAATGCTCTCCACACAAAAATGAACTAAATTTAGAGATTTGTGGGATGCCACCAAGTTTACCAATATATGCAAAATGGGAGTAAATGACTTATCATGTGCAGGAGACTGGCAATATGGCTGACTCCTGACTTTTCACCAGAAATGATGGAGTTCAGAAGATAGTGTGAAGTGCATCAAGAAACAAACAAAAGTCACCAAGAATTCTATACCCAACAAAGCTATCCTTTGAAAATAAAGGTGAAATAAAGACATTCCCAGATAAGTAAAAAATAAGAGATTTCATAGTTAGCAGACATGCCTTACAGAAAAATATTAAAGTCATCAGCCCTAAAGAAAATGATACTGACAGTTCCTTGAATCCATAGGAAGAAATAAAAAGCATCTGAAAAGAGTAAATATAAAAGGAATGATAGATATAGATAGATGATAGATAGATAGATAGATAGATAGATAGATAGATAGATGATAGATAAACATAAAAACAGAAGTTAATGAGGTAGCAAATTTTGAAAAACAGAAAATTGAGTGCCAACTAAAAGACAGAGACAACACATATACTAAATAAGGAATGACAAGGGGAAATATAGTACATTTTTTAAAGCAATATTTTGTACAAATTTCTACAAGTAACTTCCAAATCTAAATGGATCGCATTTTCAGAAAACACAGTTTCACAAAACTAACTCTAATGCAGATAGAAAGTCTAAGCAGAACAATGGCTAATGGCTGTAAGAGAAATACTTGCACTGTCACCATCCCAACAACCATCCCAGCAGCAATGAAAATGAAAGGTGGGAGGAGAGTTTATGGTGCATTTGACAGTATGTACATTCCCAGAATCACATTCCCTGAAATTATCTCCTTTACTGGAAGCAAACTCGTAGCCAAAGGAATAGAAATAGCTAAAACAAAGATATGTTCAGTTGGATGAAATATTCACTATAAATAGAAATGTTTACATGAAGACAAAATTCTTCAGAATTCTCTCCTAATTCTCCAAATAAAAGACCAACCTGGTTACAAGGATGATTCCGAGTGATAAGAAAGTACTTTGAATCACTTAAGACTTGCTAAATGCTAAAGGAAATTTGTTCAGAAATAAGAAATAGGACAACTAAAGGACAGAACCTAGAAATGGACAGCGACAGACCTGTAGAAAAGAAAGCCACCAAGAATTTAGAATTTAGAATTCAGAAAAAAAAAAATTGGGCTTGAGTCAGCTACCTGCTAAAAGTATGCTCGAGGTTTTCAACAAGAATAGAGAGATCTAGCCTAAGACACCGGAGAGTAAAGGATATTTTGCATCTCAGGCAGATGGGGGATGGCATGCCAAGTGTGGTTTTAGATTTAGAAGTTAGAGTAAATCGAAAAATAATTCCTGCAGGAATAAGGCTCCCATCAAACTCTTAAGAGAGAGAGAGAGAAAGAATCTTCAAGAAATTCATTATTAGTTGTTGAAAATACGGGTTTTGGAATTAGACTTATCTGGTCACTTTCTAGTTTGCCAAGTTACTGAACCTCTCTAAAGATAATTTCCTATTCTATAAAATGGAATCAGTAATATATGGCTCCCAGAGGTTTATTTGGTCAAGAAAATGTATGTAGATTGCCTAACAAAATCCCCAGCATAGAAATTAGACTCAATAATAATGTCAGTAGCAGTAATATTAGTAGCTGTGTACTAGTTAACTAGTTAACTAACTAGTACTAGTTAACCATTTTGAGAGCTAAATCTTAATGAGTGGTTGCTATATGTGATGTCACAGGCAAACTACCTACAGGCTGACAAGAGCTGGAAGAAGACCTGCTCCTTCTCCTATTCTGCCCTAGATATCAGGCCCTTCTGAAGACTAAACTTTTTGTCTCCTTGCAGCAGGTGAGATCATGGAGCACAAGGAACAATCATATACTGGGATTTCTAGGCTCTAGCACAAGGCTTTTTTTTTTTTTTTCATGGCCAAAATGGTGGACACTGCCTATAACTTCTGCATCCTTCTCCCACAGGTCACTTGGATATTACAGGGGTAGGGGAAAGCTTTTGTTTGAATGTCTTTAGGACTTTGTTCATAACAGAATGCTCTGGTGTGACCAAGTCCCAGCACTGGGGCGACAGCTGATCCACTGTTCACTTGTTGCCAGCAGGACTGAAAAAAATCCCCCGATGCACACGGTGTCTCCTGGATGAAGGAGGAGGCTTTCTTCAGGCCCTGGAGACACCTTCACACTTCTGTACTAGCAGCTTATCTACAGCAATCTACAGCCACATCCTCAGGTGGCCTAGCATTTGAGAAAAAAAAAAAAATCTTCCTAGAAATAACATTAGATAGCAAAAAGCCACATCTATAACATTTGAACTTCAGTTCATCTGTGACGATTCGAATCTCACAATTCCCCAAAATGCTTTTCTCCCCCAAGCAAGTGGTTCTGAAAGCAGTTACTAGATCACTCAAAGGGATCAGTAGCTACAAGTGCCTGCATAGTGTTTGTCCACACCCAGTGCTCTCTGGTAGAACCTCCAGTAAGATGAGTTCCTACACCAGATCCAAATCACCTGAGAGCATGTTCTAGGTACCTACCAGATTTTCCTGGGTTTGTGTATATTTAGTTGCTCCATTCCCTCCACCACACCTGTTCACTCCCTTGTGAGGCAGCTCACAGAAAGAGAAGGGGCACAGGCATTATATAGAAAGCGTGTCGAGAATATATAGCGGAAATTCATGGAAATGAATAAGATTAGGCTGGCTAAAGATTAGAATGCTTTTAGAGTAAAATTTCAAGTTGGGTAGAGGGATAAAATGGGAAAGAGTTTCCAGAAAAGTGTTTGGAGAAAACCTTCAAGGGTCCATGCAATAGTACTCAATTTACCATAAGAGTCTAGTAAGAATTCAAAAGACACAAACCCACCATATCACAAAGGATATATCGTATAAGGGAAATTAGAATTCATAGAGGAAAAAACTTCCATGTGAATTCTTTAAGAGAACATCATAAACAATTATGTGACCTGGAAAAATGAAACCGGTCACATTCTGTTATATCTCAGAGGCTTTTGATTCTTTTTTGAAGAAGCAAGGGAGAAGGTTGTGGTCTCTGGCCAGGAGTAGATGAAAAGCATTGGCCTCAGAGACTAAATGCATCACAGCACTGGCCAGCATTCTTCATCCAACGCTGCAATGAGCAACAGGTTCCTCTGCTCACGTGTTGTCACTTGTCTCGTCAGAGTAGGTGAGTTCCAGGCACCTGTCACGGGCTTCCTGGGCTCCAACTACAGGATATTTCTTCAGGATGGTAGCATCAGTCTCCCCTCCCCGGGCTCCGTCTTTATTTGACCACATTTTTTTTTTCTGCCACAGGCCTCAAGGATGCTGTGGTCACACAGTTCCCAAGACATAGGATCTTGGGGACAGGAAAGGAATTAACCCTACAGTGTTCTCAGGATATGAACTATGTTTCAATGTTCTGGTATCGCCAAGACCCAGGGTTTGGACTGTGGCTGATCTACTACTCAACTGGTACCAACACCTTTGAAAAAGGAGATGTCCCTCAGGGGTATCGTGTCTCTTGAAATGAGTTGCCATCTTTTTCCCTGACCCTGGAGTCTGCCAGCACCAACCAGACATCTGTGTACTTCTGCACCAGCAGTGAGCCACAGTGGTGCACAGCCATATCCTCTCTGCACAAGAAAGGCACAAACCAGGGAGTGAGGGCACCCTGCCCTCAAGGTTCCTGACCCAAATTAGCAGTTTTCTCACAAGATTGCACTGGAGCCCTGCTTTGACTGTAATATTCCTTACTTTTTCCCCATTCTTGTCCCCCCAAGACACCTTTCCTGTTGTAATCCAAGTCTTCACCCCTGGCTGATATTGCACTAGACTAGAAGGGATTAACCCAAAGTGACTATTTCCTAAGGCAAACTTCAATTCTCAGATACAGATGTGGGGAAATTTTTGATAAAACTGAATTCCAATCAAGTAAAGGAAAAAACCCCTCAGATTTACAAAGATCCTTCAAAGATTCTACAATGGCGTCTCTTGATGACTAAGAGAATCATACGGGAAAATCAGCAGGAAGCGGGGCTTCCTCAGATGTGAAATCCTGAGCATGAGTAACAGAGGATGCAGAGGGTCAAGACCAGTTTTCAGACAACTCATGGACTCAGGATTACCAAGAAGGTGGAAAAAGTTAGTGGGGGGGGGGGGTTGGTAATAAGAGACATGAAATGTGTTTGTTCACAGGGATTGTTAGTGAGCAGAACCTCACCTGGGTAGGTACAGGTGTAATTTTTAAAATTAAAACCTGTGGTGCCGAGTAGACAGATCAGAGATACAACAGGGTCACTGTGTAGTTCCCCAAAGGAAAATGTTGGGTGATAACCAACTGTATTTGTTTTCCTTTGCTGTGTAACAAATAGTGCAAATGAGGCAGGTTACAAGGACACCAATTTATCATCCCACAGTTCTTTGTTTCAGAAGACCAGGATGGTTGGCCTGGGTTCTCTGCTCAAGGTCTGCTGAGATCACAGCGTCATCTGGCTGCAGTTTCTTCTGGAGCCCGCTCCCCTCCCCACTCAGTCTTATTATTGGCAGAACTCAGTTACTTGTGGTGGTAGGAAGGGGGGCCCTGTTTCCTTGTTGGTGGTCACTGGGGGGTTGCCTGAAGTTCCTTGCAGTCTCGCTCTGGTCCCCTCCATCTTCAAGGACAAAAATGCACATCAAATCCTTCTGATGCTTCAGAAAAGCTCTGTGACCTCCCCTTCTGCTACCAGCTGGAGAAAACTGTCTTGAAGGGCTCTTGTGATTGGATTAGAACAGGCTCATCTGGATAAGATCCCTTTTGCCAAATAATGTAACACAATCACAGGAGCCAGATTTCATTATATTTACAGGTACCTCCTACACTCAAAGGGGAGGGGACCATACATGGGCAAGGGTCACTGCTGGTTGTTCTTAGAATTCTGTCTACCACACCAAAGGAGAACAAATGCTAAGAATATCGGGACAAGAAATTCAGAGGGCATGCAATCAAATACATTGAATTAGAATTTAAAAGTACTTGAGAGATGTTTCTGAGTCCTGGCCACACAGTAGATCAAGTTTTCTTCCTACTGTTTTATCAAGGACACAGTATAAAAGTAGAGGGGTGTGGCCTTTGGTAAGGGGAGCAAAGGGAAGTTATACAAAGGAAAGGTAAGGAGGAAAGATCTAGCTCTTACTGGAAGGACACCAAAGCCTCAGTATAAGGAACCATATTGTTTTACTCCCTGGGTTGAGAAAAGGGATGAGAGATGAGACCAGGAAAAGGGATGGAGTGAAGGTTGAGAGAACTTTTTTGAAGAGAATAAAATTGGTTGGCAGAGGAACACAATCTATAATGAATGTCATTCCCATGAATTTTGAGGTAACCTACTGTAGAAATATCTTATCAGTTGATTGATTATTTGGAGAGGTAGCATAATCCTTCGAAATTCCAATGCATTGGGAAACTAACAACCTCAAGGCAGGGCCTCAGGAAAACAACAAATATCAGGATCCAGTTAACAGGACAATATCTAGTATGATTTTAGTTTTGTTATTAGCCAATTTGTGAAAGTTTCCTGGAGAAATTGGGGATCATCTGGATATGGATCAGTGTCTCAGGTAGCAAACTGTCTATCTCATGAATTGACCTATCCTTCCAAGATTAGACCACAGAGCTCTTGTCCGGGTAGCCCAAGTTAATGAGTTAAGTTAATGAGTAAAGCAGGAATGAAGTGCCACCTGCTACCATACTTGGAGAGAGTGATAACTAGAAGAAGAGAGAAAAGGTACTTTCTTAGAGGGAAAAGGTACTCTCTGAGATGGCATCAGTCTTGTCTTTCTCTACAAGCTGGCTGCGGTCCACTATCCCAAGATGGGGGCTGGGAGCACAAGAATCCAACTGCGTAATTGATGAGTCCTAGATCTGTCCTCTCCACCCTGATTCCTAATTTGAACTTAAGTCCATTCAGGACACCTCCCCCTGGAGTTGAAACACAACACGTCATCTTTGCCCTGCAAGCTACCCTCTGGTTTCCTGATCTGACGAATTCAAGTATGAGCCATTTACTTGCACGAGATTGAAGTTGTGCTACATTTCTTTTCCTCCTTTATCCTGGACAGCCAACCTGTATTCAAGAGCTTTGATTGCTAACGCCTACATAACTTTTCTCTTCATCCATTATCTCCATGCAAGCACTGTCCCGTTTATGCTCTTATCAGCTCTGCAGGTAAATTTAGTAGCCTCTTTATCCGCATCTCGTGCTCCAGCCTCCCCCATCTAATGCAGCGTCAGCATCCCAGTACCAAGTGCAGTCTCCCTGATTGCAAAACTCTGGCCATGTCACTCCCTTCCCCTGCATCTTTCATTGTCTCTCTGTGGCCTAACAGACATAACAATCTAAACTTACTGTCATGGAAAGAGACTTATGATGATTCCTTTAATGTTTTGAAAGGAAGGAATTAAATCCCTTAACCGAAAAGATACCTTTGTATTAGAATGTCAGGTTCTCATTAGAGCCTAGGACAATGATAAAGAGCTCTTAGTTTTTCCTTCTTGAGTTATGGATCTCTTTCTCCATTAAGCCCATCACAGCTGGGCACTAGGGAAGACATAGCCATGTGCTCTGAGTAGTTGGAATGGGTCAGTGCTTCAGAATCTTCAGGCCTTCTCATGGGAGGAGAAAAGCAAATGACCTGACCAGATCCAGCCTGATTGACACACAAGATAATTACCCCTCTGTCTCCATGTTTGCCAGCTCTTAAAGCATGTGTATACTATGCTGACAAGTTCTCTTTTTCCTTCAATCTACCAAATCATTTTCTAGTTCCCAAGCTTGATACAGACCAGCAGAGCCCTGAGTATGGTGGAGGATTTGGGAAGAGACATAAGTAAACCACCCAGGATGGAGGCATGTGGCAGTGGACAAAACTTCCTGCATATATAAGGTACAATGATAACCCTATGAGAAAATCCAGCCGCACCTTCTAGCACTCACGTTCTCACATGCTCTACTCCAGCAACATTGAACTCAAGCCATTTCCAAACACACAGCGCATATTTTCCTCGAATGGCCCATCTGACAAACTCATTTTGCTCTTCAAAATATTACTTAAAATAGCAATATCTGAAATGTGCTCTGTTTTCCCAAGACCGTGGGCTCCTTCCTCAGTACTCCCACCACACCTTACACAATTCTTCCTTTCTGCAGATGCCAAATTGAAATGATTACTGGGATGGCTAACTTCCCACTGGACTACTTTAAGACGGTATGTGTTTCCATCATTCCTTCCCCAGAACTGTCCGCCGTGCATGGCACACAAGTTCAATGAACGATCAATATTAAATATTATCAGCATGGAGACAGGGATGTTGTCTTTTTTGTTCATGTCTGTGTTCCCATAGTCTAAAGCAGCACCTGCCACATAATTGATATTCATTATCTGTCCATTAAAGGAAAGGATAGAATAGCTCAGCAATATCTAAAATGACTGGGCCCTGGGCTTGCCTGCTCTTCTACCCCTAAAAATTCTATGTCTTAAGTTTAATCAGTTCCCAGACTTACCTTCTTTTCTGGCAAAGGGTTCCTGATAGGCCAAGTAAAACACCCCCAAAATATTCATTTGCTAATCCTCAGAATCTGTGAATATATTGCCTTACAACATGGCAAAAGAGAATTACATTTGTAGATGTGGTTAAATTTGCGAATCAGTTGACCTTGAGATAGATGGTGAGATTATTCTGGATTATCCAGGTGGGCCCAATTAAACACATGGGTCCTTACAGAGTGATGTGGGAGGGATTCCACCTGCTGTGGCTCTCTTCGAAGATGGAGGAAGGGGCCATGGACTGTAGGCGGCCTCTAGGAGCTGGAAAAGGCAAAGAAAAGGATTGTCCCCAGAGCCTCCAGAAGAGCACAGAGCCCCAACCCACCTTGATTTCAACCACTGAGACTCACGTCAAACCCCTAACCTACAGTAAGATAATAAACTTGTGTTGTCTTAAGCCACTGAGTTTGTGGTACTGTGTTACAGCAGCAGTAGAAAACTAACACAGAGCCCCCGAAAGAAGGCTGCTACTGATGAAAGCCACTCTGGGAGAAGCCGAAGAAGAGGCAGAGGGGTAAGAAGGAGAAGAGTTTGAATCAGATGATGCCGTTGTTAAAGGCAGATGCTGCCAGCTTCTGTTCTTGGCATGCTCCGTTTCTGCAAATACCTCCTCTGCACAGGCTTAGGTTCAGAATGCTACGGCCGGGTGTCACTGCCAGCCTCAGAGGACCTATTCTCTTGGGAAGAATCCTGCCTTTGGCCTGACCATCAGTGGCCAGCACTGTGGGCACGGCCTCTGCTAAGTAGCACAGAGCCGGTGGGGTGCTGCTGCTGAGGCAGGCAGGGAGCTTGTGACCCAGGACACAGGAAGTCACTTCCCAAATAGCAGGGAATTAGAGTTTGTTGTCATTGTGAATATCAACAGAAGCCCACTCCCTTTGCAGCTTCCATCCCCCTGCAAGGTGACCACACACACACACTCAAGCACGCAGAGGCAAAAAGAGGGTGGGAGAGGGAGACAGGAGAGAGAAAGGAGAAGAATGATCTCCCCTTGACCCTTGAACGTTCCAGCAGTAACCAGACACCCGAGCCCCTCTGCACCAGCAGTTCATCAATGCAGCTGCATCCTCTGCACAAAGATGGCAAACCCAAGGCAGGCAGTGCCTCTGCCCTCGTGAGCCCGAGCCCCACCCACAAGAGGGTGCAGACACCCTGCCCCACCCAGTTAGTAGCCTTTCCTTTGCTTTCTCCCATCTTAATTGCTTTCTTACCACATCTTGCCATGGATTTTTAGTCTTGGTGATTGCATGTTTTCCGTCGCTGCTATAACAAGTTACCACACACTCAAGTGGCTTAAAACAACACAAATTTATTATCTTACAGTTCTGCAGGTGAGAAGTCCAGTACCAATCTCATTCAGCTAAAACCAGCGTATTGGCAGCACTACGTTTCTTTCTGAAGGCTCTAGGAGAGAATCAAATGTCCTTGCCTCATGACCTTCTTCCTCTATCTTCACAACCAGCAATGTTGCATCTCCCCGGCCCTTGTTCCATACTCATGTCTCCCTCCAAACACAGCTGGGAAAGTTTCCCTGCTTTTAAAGACCCATGGGATTAGGGCGCTCTGGGTGGCTCAGTCAGTCAAGCGTCTGCCTTTGGCTCAGGTCGTGATCCCAGGGTCCTGGGATCGAGTCCTGCATCGGGCTCCTTGCTCAGTGGGAAGCCTGCTTCTCCCTCTCCCTCTCCCCCTGCTTGTGCACTCTCTCTGTCATATAGATAAATAAAATCTTAAAGAAGTAAAGACTCATGTGATTAGACTGGGCTTCCCTAGCTCAAGGTCAGCTGATTAGTAACCTTAATTGTATCCACAGCCTTAATTCTCTTTTAAATCAAATCTAAACATTCACAGGTGGTGGGGGTTAAAATGAGAACATCTTTGAGACCTTTTTCTGCCTATTGCAGCGAAGTGCCACTAGAGGGCACTAACGCATTCTTTATTATGAACGTTACATTTCAGATCATGATAAACGAGAAAATTTGATAAAATTGAACACTGTATCACCAATTAAAAGAGAACTCGGTATAAAAATATCTCTCATGAGGTCTTTCAAATGTTAAGCATATAGCAGGAAAATATAGAGGGTAGAGCTATTTCCTCAGGACGGAAATGGCCTGCGCATAAGTAAAATAGGATTTGAAGTTTGGTGAACATTCTATAGTCTATAAATGGGCTCAGGATTCCCCCGTAGGAAAAATATTGCTGTGCACTCAAAGGGATAAGCACGTTCTTCTACAGGGGTTCCTAAGAAAGGGCTCCTCAGTGGGGTAGAGGCCGGCATGTATATTGTTGTCCAGAGACTATTATCCAAGAAGGATGGATGGAGATTTACTAAGTGGCGCCTCTGAGGAGGGGGCTGAGAGCAGACACTGAAGAAGGCCTGGGAGAGACAGAGACAGATGGACAGCACAGAACGAAGCACATTACATTAAAGGACAAAAGACAGAGGGAGATGTTTCGGGGCTCCTGGCCACCTACAGGATTCTCTTTTCTTCCAGTCCCATTGTTAGGGACACAGAAACCTGCCCCACACTGGGGAAACGTTCCCAAACTCTTGAATGTGGTGGCCTTGGGAAGGAGAGATCAGAAGGAAGGTTCTAGAAGGGAAGGGCGGGAAGGTTCAGCAACTGCCTTGTGATCTAAGGATATCAAGGACATTGCTTTAGTGTCTTGGTTGATGTAGAGAAAGAAAGGAGAGACCAGAGCAGCCTGTTAATGGGGTGCAGAGGAGGGGAGCAGCCTGTGTCTGAGGAGAGTGAACTAGCTGCTGGGGGACAGGAATACAGAATCAGATGCCTCCTGAATCTTGGGTTAATCTAATATGGAGAATGTTTGAGATAAACTACAAAGCTTTGACTTGTAATTATCCACCTCTGTGGTGTGTTGGAAGCACCATGGAACCTGGGAAAATCTACTGGACAGGACCATAAGTAAATAGTGGGTTTAGCGTTGTGGATGTGGGTGAACTGTGAAAGATGTCTAAAGATGAAATTCGGGACGACAAGCTTTACCAAGTAATAAGGAAATTGTTGACTTGAGGAGGGTTCTTGAGAATGAAAACTGCTCTCTTTCCCCAGAGAACACCTGTCCCACAGCTAGAATATGGAGGACTCCCAGGACAACAGAAAAACACCAAGGGCTGAAGTGGAGCCAAGCCTGCCCGCCCCCCATGCTTTTCCTGAAAGGAACCACACGCGTAGCGACACATGAAGAGAGAACACGCCTCCTCAGAGCAGAGTTACTGTCCTGAGAGCAAGCATGCCTCTCTCACTGGCCTGAAATGGGGACGGTTGGAGCTGCACCTCCAGCATGAAGGGGACTGCAAGCAAGAAAGCCATCTCTGAGGTTTGAGTGCTGCCCCAAGACTGGGATGAGGTCCCATTTCTTGCCTGGAGATGACAATGATTTGGCAAAATAAAGGACTCGGTGAAGCCCTAGCTGTGGTTGGAAGCAACGAAGGGGGATGGGGCAGTCTCTTCTCTCTCCTTCTCTCCCATCCCCCCAAGAAGACTCTGGCTCCAACAAAGCACAAAACAAACTCAAAGGTATCCAAGACCGGGAATAATCTGGGCAACCCCAGGAAAGTCACCTCAACGCAGGAAGGACACAGTGACCCAGAAAAGGGAACAATATGAGCAGCTAGAGCTCAGAAGAGACACCCTAATGCCCCGAGCCCCATACAGAATTCCCCAGGGCTGGGATCCACAGCCCAGCTGCCGCTCAGCCTCCAGGGACATAGCCACGCTGCCGTGTGGCGCAGCATGTGGAGACTGCAAGAAAGAGGTTGTATGCCCACAGCAGACAAAGAAACCATGTTGGCTGGTTAGAAAAAAAAAAAAAAAAAAAAAAGTGAGGTGATTGAAGTAAGCAGATGTCGTCCCTGCCTCTAGAAGGAGAGAGGAGAGGAGAAGGAAGAAAGATATGCCAAACACCAACCTGGAGGAAAGCAGCTACTAGCCCCACAACTACGTGTAATCGGCTAACTAGGAAAGAGCCTGCACCTGGTATTTGGAACTGGTTACAGACCAATAAAATAATCCATGCTGGGGACCTGCTGACTGAATTTGTACACATGAGCCTCTTGCAAAGGCTAGTGGCTAAAAAACATGTCAGTGGATAAACAAGGAGAGGAACATACTTGGAATTTCTTCTGCAGAGTAGACGGGACGACTTCTAAAGTATAAAAGTGCAATTGTGATGGAGTGTAAGTTTCACGTTCCCACATTTCTAAGTGATAAATCGTTTGTACCAGTTTTCATCATAAGGATTCAAAATACACAAATATCTGCCAAGTTTGACAAGAGTGTACTGGTGAGACTTTGTCCAGGGCACAGAAAGGAGCAGCCTCAAAGGAGAGCTGGGTAATGTTCGGGACCACCAGGCTTGCCAGCCCACAGCGGCCACTACCGACTGCCCCTGTTTCTCCTCAGCCCTGCGAGGAAAGGGGAGTGGCTTCCCCCCTGAAAATGACAGCCAGGTCGCTGCAGTGAGGGAGACATTACGGAACTGCCTAGAGCCCAGCCCCCGGGGCCGGCAGACCCCCGTGTCCGCTGCCATGGCTTTCGGGCTCCTGGGCTTCGTGGCGCTCTGTCTCCTGTGAGCAGGTGAGTTTCAGGACACATGGGCAACTTGACCGTAGCTCACAGATCTCAGCTCGTTTCCAGAGGCTGTGCCCTTCTTGGCTGTCTCTAGCTCTGTTTCCTTCCCTCACAGGCCCCATGGAAGCTGGGGTGACCCAGACCCCGAGATACTTCATCACAGGGACCGGAAGGCAGTTGACACTGCATTGTTCTCAGGATATGAACCATGACGCTATGTACTGGTATCGACAAGATCCAGGGCTGGGTCTCAAGCTGATCTACTATTCACGGAACGTTGAGTTTGTTGAGGATGGAGATGTCCCTCATGGGTACACTGTCTTGCGGAAAGAGAAGAATTTCCCCCTGACCCTGAAGTCGGCAGGCACCAACCAGACCTCTCTGTACCTCTGTGCCAGCAGTATATCCACAGCGCTGCTCAGCCATCTGCTCTCTGCACCAAAAGGGCACCACAAGAGCGAGGAGGCTCCTTCCTGGGGGGCCCACCCCACGCAGCAGGAAAACTCCCTCCACCATCAGTGCCCATAGAAGTCCTTCCCTGACTCCCCAGCTCCGGGGACTCTGAGCAAGGCAGCTCCCCTGCCGTGTGCTACTCTCGCAAGACCTCTCACGACCAAGGTGCTTGTCAAGGTTGAGGCAGGACAAGCTGACTGTGTTAGGTCTAGTGCCAGGGGTAAGAGAAGCTTTTCCTAGAAAAGGAACTTCACGCACCCTGCAATCCTTTCTCCTTACCAGGCTTCATTGTTGCCCAAACGGAACACCCCACTTTCAATCCAATCATTCAACAAAATTTTGTCCCATATGCCATGTCCTATTCCTGGAGGTTGGCACCCAGGGGAAGAGCACGCTCTGAGTTCTTTACAAAATCTGACATCCCTCATTCTCCTCACCTCAGCAGACAGTCCTGCCGTCTGGCGGAATGCCCAAGCCGGGAATGGAGGGGTCGTCCCCACCATCTCTCAGACACTGGCCTTCCGCACCTAATCCATCACCCCCCACTCTGCATCTTTCTAGATGTTACATCCCTTGCAAATTTTACTAATGTTTCTAACGTCACTGACAATGCCGTGGCCCAGCAAACATCCCTCGCCTGGATTCCTTCTCCACCTTCCAAGTAGTCACCCCCCTTTTCCCACTTTGCTGCCTGCCTCCATCCACAAACCACTCTTTCAGGCTCAAAAGCATCAGTGTCTTTCCTGAACCTTGTTAAAGTCTCAAGTATAAACTTGAGGCTTTATAAACCTCTCCATGATGTGGTCTTTGCGCACCTATCTACCTTCTTAACGTGAACGTCCTCATTCCTTCAGTTCTCACAACTGCCAGACACGTTCCACCTCTCACAGGCCCCCACATGTGTCCTCTGCTGACTCACTGCCGAGTGTTCACCGGTAACGTTCACTCGCCCTAGAGTACCCTTCCTCTCCCTACCTCCCTGGTCGGTCACCTGACGGATCATTCCTCTGGATACTAACTCAGAAGTCATTTCCTCCAGAAATATTTCCTTGAGTCCCTGGCTGGGTTAGTTCTCCTGTCATGTGATCTTATGACAGCCTGAACGTCTATCCTTATGGCCATCAACACACTCAATTGTTCACTGTTTAACATTTAGGCTAATAAATATTAAAGTTAAAGAGAATAAGGATCATGCCTCTATTGTTTACTTCTTTATCTCCATACTTACCAGGGTGCCTGCAAGCAGTAGTGTTAAATGAATGCATGAATAGGTCTTCTCGCAAACCCTCTTTCCAACACCCCTCTGACTAGTCCAGTAAAAGGGCCCCTGCAAAGTCCTCTCCTACACATAATTTGGGGAGATTCCAGGGTTTTCCATATGTGTATAGAAGCAAGACAGATCATGTGCTCTAATAGAGATTTATTCTTCTACTCCAGCCTCTTGCCTACTCTGTGCTCTAGGTCAGCCTGATGAGGATGTTGCCTCTCTGGGTACCACTGTTTCCATAGGATCCTTTTCTCTTTCTGATGGGCCTTAACCTACCCACCAGCGACTGCTTACGCTTCAGCTCTGCACCATGTCATTCACCAAGCAATATAATACCGCAGACTCTATTGTTCCTGGCAGTGGGCTCCAACGTCCCTCCCAGGTAGCGTTTCCTGCTGAGTGGCACCTCTATTAATGAAGCACAAGAGGAAAACTTATGCTCAAGGTTTTCCTTTTCCTTCTTTGTGTTGGAAGGGCAAAACTACAGTTCTGTATCTTGAGCCCCAATATCTTACACAGACTTTAGCACAAAGGCTCATCCAATTACATACATTCCTCACCAACCACTAAAATAGTACTTATATCCTAGAATGAGGGAATGGAGAGAACGTCATCCAGGATGTAAAATCCAGCAAAAACCCAGCTAAGCTCAGAATCCACTCATCCCTCCAAGAGCTATGGCTGTATTACTGGGTCAGTCCACCCTGCCAGCCCCTCGTCCTTACTTCAGGATGAGCTCCCTCCAGGAGGCACTTTACGCTGTTACACACAGGGGCTCCCAGTGGACCAATGTCTCCTTTTTGAAAGACTTGCCCAGACATTTCTGAACTACAAAAATTGGTGCTTCTCAGGTCTAAGCTGAGTTTCCATCACACCTTTTCTCACATCCTCAGCATAAATAGAACTACACTAATTAAATCGGAGATGGAAGTAGAGATTATAAGACCAAAGACTGTTCCCTGTGAAATGGATCTACCCTCTAATGACTTATTTCCCGGAAGTCATCTCAAGTGATCCCCTATTGAATGGGAGCCCATGGGACAATGATGTAGACAGACACCTTCCTACTTCTGTAGAATCCCACACATCTAGCCCTCTGTCATAGGACCCGGAGCTCGGAGCTAGGATGCCCTGATTCTTCACTTGGACCTGCCTCAGGCACCAGGTTACCCTGCTTGTTACCCTTGTTTCCTAGGACCAACAAGCTTTGGTTCTGCACCATTCCTTAGAGGCATGCAGCCTCAGTCTGCTCCACGGAATCTGCTTCTGAGGCCTCACACCTCAACCAATCTCACTCATGCTAATGAAATATCTACAAGATTTAGGGGCACCTGGTGGCTAGGTCGGTTAAGTGTCTGCCTTCGGCTCAGGTCATGATCCCAGGGTCCTGGGATCGAGCCCCGCATTGGGCCCCCTGCTCAGCGGGGAGCCTATTTCTCCCTCTCCCTCTGCCACTCCCCCTGCTTGCGCTCTCTCGCTCTCTCTCAAATAAATAAAATCTTAAAAATATATAGATCTACAAGATTTAATGAGTTTTCAGATCTGGAACACTAGTCGCAGTTTTTAAAAAAATATATTAAATTTTGGTTCGCTCATTGTCAATGTCATTGGTAGACTACTCTTCCTATGCTCTTCCCTTAAAGGTGAGCTCACTGGGTATTATTTCACTAACACCAGGGCTAACACAGACACCCCCCCACGAACTCACCTGCCGTGACATCCTCCCTGGGATAGGTGGTTCATGGGCACAGGTAGAATGTTCTTGAACCTGCTTTGCCAGACCACTACATTAGGGCCTTTCTCTGGTGGTTATACATTGGTGTCCCTCCTAAGCTCTCTCCCTTGAGGTACCATCTCTTTTTACCCACAGTGTCCATGGATGCTAGCGTCACTGAAATCCAGCTGTCAGAAAAAATGGTGACTCTGTGATGTGACCAAAATATGTACCATGACCCGTCTGTGCTGATTCAGACAAGAGCCAGGAATGAGGCTACAATTAATCTTTTACTCGGTGCCAAGAATACCAACAGACGGGAAGTCCCTAAGAGATACAGTGTGTTTTTAAATAAGACTGAGCATTTCTCCCAGCCTTCAGACATCCAGCCCTTCTAGACATTTCTGCCAGCAGTTAACCCACAGCGCTGCACAGCTGCTTCCTCTCTGCACAGAAAGGGTTGTCACAAGGGGAGAGGTGGTGCCCACAGGAGCCAGTGGTGGGGGGCAGCACCTGTGAATGAGCTGCCACAGTCCTCTCCCCCGCACTTCCCTTTGGGGTTGGCACAGGGCTTGTGCAGCCCAGACCACCTAAGAGAACTCACCTGGTACCAATTCGGCTTCCCTGGTGCCACCTACTAGAGGGAGCGTCATTCTGCCCAGACGCACGGGTCTTTGGGACTGGGTCCAGGGCCGCGGGCCACCCAGCCCTGTGCACTGCCCTCCTCCCCATCGCCCACATTCAGTGTAACTCTTCCACTCCACCTCTAGACAAACTGCCTTTCTAATTTCAGGTCTTGGCCTCTAGATTTCATTGCCCCAGAGCTCAACATCCCGTTCGGCGTAATTTTATCGCTGCATGTCAGCGGTCACTGCCACCTAGGTACCACGAGAACTTCCAGCTGCACCTGTCCATTGTGCTGCCAGGCCCGCCCGGCAAACTCATTCTTACTCTTCTGATCTCACAATTGCTCCGCACGTTCCCCAGAATGTCTCTGGCTGTTTCCCGAACACACGCACCTTCTACACGTCTCAGTTCTGCATTAGTCTTACTGTCGTGGTGGTGTTTGCTATAAGTCTCCTTTTGGGGCCGTCTGTTCTCTGATTTAAGGTTCACGTATCTTCCCATGTTTGTATCACCAAACCACCACTGTGCCTGTTACAGAGGATGGCGAACGGAATAGAAGCTCTATGAGGCATGGAGCATGCCTCTGTGGTCCGAGACTGTGTTCCCGGTGCCTGGCACATAGCAAGTGTTCAAGAAATATCAATGCAAGAATTCTAAGAGGACTTCAAGAATTTTAACGAGGATCTGTCTTCCTTATCTCTCTTTCCCAGCTAAGAGCCCTTTTAATAAGGAGCTTAGATAACAAAGCTTATGAATAAATTCTCTAAGAGACAAGCTTTTGGCTTGGATGATCCTATTATATTATATTATTACAGATGCTGCCAATTTCTGCTCCAGACATGCCCCATTTCTGCGACACCCTCACCATCACGGGTGCAGGGACAGACGTTCCTAGTCACAGACTCCACAAGCAGCTCCAGCCCCAGAGAGGAGCTGTGGTGACCCCGGGTGGGGGAGGCACGTTCTCCTGGGGAGAGGACCCTCATGTGAACTGCCGGGGTCACTGAGCTCAGAGCAGGAAGCATGTGGACCCTCTGCCACCAAACTGCTCTTGTGAGGACAGGAAGAAGATTGTGCCAAGGGGATGATGTAGAAGGAAACTTCATCTCAGTATCTCTCAGTTTGGAATTTCTCTTCTTCATAGCAAATAACAGAAAGGGCCATAATCCTCTGCCTACTGCCCATGGCGTATCATCAATCTGGCTGCCAGAGCAAATGATATTTTAGCATCTCCTCCTTTATACAATAATATTTTTTTTTATTAACAGTCATGTACGTAATTATGAATCACAGTGTGCACCAAAATCACCCATTGAGGATTTGTTTTGTTTTGTTGTAGCTGTTTTTTAAAATTGTGTGTGTGTGATAAGAACACTTATAATGAGGTCCCTTTTACCAAGTGTTTAAACGTACAATCCAGTCTCCTTAACTCCAGGCACAATATTGTAGGACAGATGTAATCATCTTGCAAGACTGGAACTTTGTATCTATTCAACAGAGACTCCCATTTCCCCTCCCCCAGCCCCGGGCAACTGCCATTCTTCTCTCTGCTTCTGGGTATTTAACCCCGTTCTAAGTGAATTAAGGCAGTCACCAAAGGACAGATATTACACAGAAGGAGCCTTTCATCACCAAAATTGTTTAGAATTTCTGGCACATGGTGATAACACAAGCAGAACAACTTTCGGTTGGATTTTATTACTGTGGTTTTTTTTTGTTTGTTTTTTACATCAGTTTCTGTTACTTTATTCATATTTGGCAATTGTCCAAATAATGTCCTTCATAACAAAGAGCAAAACAGATTCTGGTCTATAATCCAATCCAGAATTACATTTTGCATTTAGTTGTTATTTCTATTTACTCTGGAAAGCTCCTCAGTCTGTCCTTTGTAATTCCATACTTTGAAGAGTATAAACCAGTTACTTTATAGAAGATGGTACTTAATTTAATATTGTGGTAAAGCATGTTGAAGGTGAAGCTTTAGATGAAAATAATTTTTACTTTCCATGTTTCTCTTGGTATAACATTTTCAAGTTTTTTTTTTTTAAAGAAAAATGTCAATCACGAAAGCAGAGAGATAATACAATGAGCCCTATCGCCCAGACTCAATAATGAACACTTGCCATCCTTCCGTCTTCCATTCGCCCAGCATTTTTGGTGGATATATTTTGAAGCAATTTCCAAGACATCATAATATTTTATTTCAGATTTTAGTAGGTTCTAAAAAATAATATTTTGTTATACAATCATATTACCCACCTAACAAAATTATTTGTAATTCCTTAATATTATACACTGCCAGAATTATATTTAAATTTCTCCTATTACCTTGAAAATGTCCTTTTAAATATTTGTTTTTGCATTTGATTGTCATGTTTCTTAAATTCTTCTTCCTCTTTTCCTCCTCCTCCTTCTTCTTCTCCTTCTTCTCAGTCTCTGCAGACATTGCATCCCTAGTGATTGCACCCCACCATTGGTCCCCCACTGTCTCCACTACATTGCCAGGTGGACATGCACATGTGGGCACCACTGTGTCTCCATTGTGTCTCCATCACCAGCACAGCAGACAGAAAAGGCAAGTGTTTTATAAACAGAATTAGCCTATTGCTCATGGGAAGACTCATATCTCTCTGTGCACCTACATCTTTGGAAGCAAATCAGTAACAATCTACAACCAAATACTTCCAGCACACTAAATGTGTACTTAAGGACAGACAGGTAAGACATGAGAACTGAAGGATTGGTAATACTTTGCAATATGAGATGCCACCTGGATACATGGATGTGCTTGGGCTGGCAGGGGCTACCAGGAATCTGATAAAATCCCCTAACCACTAAAGCTAATCATATCAAAAGCAGAGAACAGCACAACAGGAAGATAGAATCTGTGCCAGAACACAAAGTCAGGCATATTTCTTCTGACCACTTCTGGTTATGAGCTTCACCAGGAATTCAGGGGAAAGAAATTGATGGCTAAGTCAGAATCAGAATTACACTGGACTTTGAAGCTTTTCCTTCCTAGTGGGTGAGTAGGATCTGACACTGTCTGAGTGAGGTCCCTATTACAGAAGTATCATGAAGCTTAAAGGAGGGACAGTAGGGAAGGTGTAAGACACTTGGTAATGAACCGTAGGTTACTATCCATGGTGGCTGAAGAGGGCATAGCTTTCAGTGTGCTTTCAGTTTTATTGATTTGAATTCACCAAAAAACAATCCCTGCAGAAATATTTTGGAAGGCAAATCTAAAAAGACAACGATTTGGGGGTGTCTGGGTGGCTCAGTTGGTTGAGTGTCTGACTCTTGGTTTCAACTCAGGTCATGATCTCAGGGTCGTGAGATCGAGCCCCACATCAGGCTCTGCGCTCAGCATGGAGTCTGCTTGGGGATTCTCTCGCCCTCTCCCTCTGCCCCTCCCCTCACTCACGTGCATGCTCTCTTTTCTCTCTCTCTCTCTCTCTCTCAAATAAATAAATCTTTTTAAAATTTTTGAAGAAATAAAAATAAAAAGATAAAGATTTTCCCCAAAAGGGTAACATAAGGATGAGTACAAGAAATCATATCAATGAAGAATTTGAACATACTACCTGACACAAAATTAGTATTTAGTAAATGATGGTAGTAGTGATAAGACTCAATGCATTTAACGGCTGCATTCATTGAGCCCTGCAATGTTACAACCAGTTCATATGTACCAACCTGTCACATTCTTACATTGGTTGGTACTTTTCTTAATAGTTGGTACTTTTATTAGTCCCATTTTATATATAAGAGCACTGAGGCCCAGAATTTGCCCATGGTCACAGCCAGTTAATGACAGAGCCAGGTTTCAAACCCAGACAGTGTAGCTCCAAAGCCTGCCCTTGTAACCAATACACTACTAATTATGGTTATTAAATAAATATTAAATAAGATTGTTCAAAAAACTAAAATTGCTGTGAAGGAAATATATATCGAGAGGGAGGGAGGGAGAGAGGGAGAGCAAGAAAACAGTAATGTTTTCTCAATCGGAGTTTGTCAAGGAAAAAAAAAATCCCCACTTGTGGAGATTCACTTCCTGAGACTCACGAGGAGGACCCAGGGGACCCGGCATATCAGGCCACGTGGCTTAATATTTACTACACAGACCTCGTTAGGATACACAGGCAGATCGTAAGGGAAAGAGACAAGGCAGAGTTTGGATGAATCCATGGAGACATCCTCATGCTCTCTCCCTCTCTGGAGGATGCACACCTTCCCCAGCGAGGAAAATGCAGAGCCTGCATGCCGCGGCTCTGCCCAGGGAGCCCATTACAGACTCAGCATCCCAGACACTTCTGGCAGCTGGTATTATGGGCTGAATTGTGCCCCCTCAAAATTCATATGTTGAAGTCCTAGTTCTCAGTACCTCAGGATGTGACGATTTGCAGATAAGCTCTTTAAAGAGGTAATTCATGTCATGGAGGTGGCCCTTTCCCAACATGACCTGTGTCCCTGATAAGAAGAGGGAGTTAGGACACAGATGCTCACAGAGGCAAGACTGTGTGGAGACAGAGGGAGAAGAAGACCACCCACAGGCCACGGGGCGAGGCCGCTGAGGAAGCCAACTCTGCCAACACCTTGACTTTGGACTTCTAGCTTCCAGAATAGTGAGAAAACCAATTTCTGTTGGGTTAGTCACCCGGTCTGTAGTACATTATGACAGCCCCGGGAAAGCAACATAACTGACCCCACAGGCACTCTCTGCCTAACACATACCCAAATTCCAGACTTGAAGAAACAAAGCCGGTGTTTCGCAGACACCGCGTTGTGCTAGGAGTCTAGGCGAAATGAACTACACTTACCAGTTACTCAATGGTGGGAACACTCCTGAAATCCAAGTTCCCAGATGGCAGCCTAGGGCCTACCTTGCAGGAGCCGGTCCTTCTGAAGACAGCCACCTCAGGCCTACTGTGTTAGCTGTTTTCTACACATGCACGCACATGAGCGGGCACACATACACTGCCCTGTGGAACAGCGCTGGCTTTCACTCTGGCAACTCTAAACTCTCTAGACTCCAGAGGGTGACTAAGGGATGGGGAGAGTAGGCAGGGACGGTGACATCACAGACAACCAGCCTCTAGCCTGAGCCTGAGCGAAGAGCCACTCCTGCCTCCAGCCCGCCATGGGGATCAGGCTCCTCTGCGGTGTGGCCTTTTGCTTCCTGGGAGTAGGTGAGTCCGGGGACTTAGCAACAAACCCCAGTGCTATTATTTCCAGGCCCTGCTACGAGACTTTTCCCCACTCAGGCTTCCTGGCCTCTGGCTTCACCTCATCTGTCTTTCTCTCATAGGCCTTGTGGACGCACAAGTAACCCAAACCCCAAAACATCTCATCAAACAAGTGGGAGCGAAAGTTGTGATAGAATGTTCACAAAATATGGACCACGAAAGAATGTTCTGGTATCGACAAGACCCGGGTCTGGGGCTGCAGCTGCTCCACTGGTCACGTAATGTTGACGATATTGAGCAAGGAGACATCCCTTTCGGGTACAGTGTCTCTAGGCAGAGGAAGAAGGCCTTCCCCCTGACCCTGGAGTCTGCCAGCACCAACCAGACATCTGTGTACCTCTGCGCCAGCAGTGAGCCACAGCAGTGCACAGTCACATCCTCTCTGCACAAAAAGGGCAGGTATCAGGGGGAAGTGACCCTAACTCAGGGCTAGGTGTCCTCTAAGGAGGAACCAAGGCCACAGGCACACATCTCAGGCCCCACTCACCACCACCCCTCACCAAGTCAGGGGCCCTTCTGAACTTAACCCACCCAACCTTAGGTGTGGCCCCCAGCCTAAATTCATGAGACCCCACCCCAACCACTGGGAGATGTCTCGCATGTATTCACACTGGACACGCCCTGCTCTCCAATTGTTTACCCATCGCTCCTCCCCATTCCTATCCTCCTCTGTTTGCCACTTTGCCCCATGTCTTTGCTCTTCACTGACATTTTGCTAGAGGGCACTCACACATTCTAAACTCTTCCTTTAGATCAGTTTTATTATCTATGTGCTGATTCAAGAGAAAGTTTGTGGAAGCAACACCAAAGAAATACAAACAATTATAAGAACATATTATGAGCAACTCTATGCCAGCAAATTAGATAACCTGGAAGAAATGAGTGCATTCCTAGAGA